CGATCCAGATTATGGCGTTGATGCACAAATGATGATTAACTTGTGTAATCATTGGTCAACATTCAAAAGTGTTGAAATAGTTGTACAAATGACACTAGAAACACTCAGTTTGAGAAGCAACAAAGACTCGAGGAGCTATCAACGTCTCTTAGCAACAAAATACAACTTTAATTCATTGTAGCTTTTTTGTTCGCACAGAAGTCAGAAAGCACTCTTAATCTAACTCTGGAGATGGAACCCTCGCTCCCTCAGTGCCATTCTAGTTTTTTAGTTCATTATTATTGGGTATTTTTTCCCAATTATTTTGCCCTTGTTCTCTTAACCTTCATCCTGTCAACACCTGTCCATATAAGGGAATAAAGGGAGTGAGAGATAGAGGAAAATAGAAACAAAGAGAGGGTCAGAAGACCTTTGTATATCCTCGTCTTACCTGTAGAACGAGTCCTGACTAAGCAGATGACAAGTTACAAATAAAAGAATGGAAAGGGGAGGAATCAGTATGAAGGGATTACCTAATGTCTGGCCGCTCTGTCAGTCAACACACAAGTACAAACACACACACACACACACACACACACACACACACACACACACACACACACAAGAACATGCACAATTATTTCATGTAGTCTGTATGGAGAACATGTTCCTAATCTACCTAATCTTTCCGATAAATCAGCAACTTCCCAATGGTCTCTTTAACAACTGCACGCTTTATCTCAGTGTGTCGTTGGTGATTTCCATAATGATGCATTGAAAGACACTCAAACACACACACACACACACACACACACACACACACACACACACACACACACACACACACACACACACACACACTGTTTCAAGAGGACTAGACCTGCGGTTACAACAATCGCATTTTGATAACACAACGCACAGCACCTGGTCCAAAATGACACATCTTGAGCAGCTAACACTTGAACAGTCTCTCTAATTAACTGTTGTTTACATTGCTTTAGAGTTACAACAATGTTTTGTATATTATAGCAACTCTAGTGAAGTTCTATGAGTCTCTATACCCAATTTTATACGGTGGTCAAAAACAAAAACAAAAATGAATACATGTAATTCTATGTACACTCCTTTTGTTGCTGTGGCATACTGCTTTTGAAAATGTATAAAATAATGTCATAATGAAAAACAAACGCCATTTTTAAAGAATAAATCTTAAACACATACTAACCCCCTGATCCCACCAGTAGCGTCTGCGCTGCGTTGCGCTGCGTTGCGCTGCGTTGCGCTGCGTTGCGCTGCGTTGCGCTGCGTTGCGCTGCGTTGCACTGCGTTGCGATGCGTTGCGCTGCGGCGTTTTTAGCGATCGCGGCCACTCTAGTCAATGGGTGCTATTCCACCAGACACGCTGCGCCGCGCTGCGCCGCGCTGCGCCGCGCTGCGCCGTGGCTCGAAGCGTCCCAGAAGCTCCTCGCCGCAAGGAATTTCTAAAATATAGGATGAATCCTATTTTTGACGCGGCGCAGCGCGGCGCAGGCAGGAAGTGGAATGTTCATCCAACAACTGCGAGGCTGCACACAAGACGCTCCGCTTCCGCAACGTTTTGAAACGCGCCTGGTGGGTTAGGACGCAGGAGGAGGTCGCAGCGCGGCGCAGCCGCAGCGCAGACGCTCCTGGTGCGATTAGGGGGTAATGTAACTTAATGAAACCTTGCTTTGTTAATGTTATCTCCATTATTTTGCCAAGCAGGTCCGTGTTGTTATTAAGCTAATCTATTGTCGATTTCAGCGCAGAATAGTTGTGTACCAATGATTACATTATCATCAAGAACATTATCAAGGGAAATGAAGGGACAACTGGTTCTCAAGCCCCGAGAAGCAGTTTAAAAAAACACTACCATCACAGAATGTAGTCATCGACTTGGTCTGTGTCTGCACGTGCACGCATGCTTTTGTGTGTTATTCCAGTACATGCCTTCCCAGATTTTTTTTCTGCACATGAAAACAGTGCTATTTAAATGCAAGCAACACAAAATCACAACCACAGGGTCAAAATGTGTTATTCTTCCCGGAGTATGGCACGCAGATGTAATGAACCTTGACATAATATCCTTGTTTAACAGAACTAAAAACATTACAGCCTCACATTACTCGGAGAGACCCAAGAGAGGAAGACTGTGGAGGGATTAAATGTGGTCGCAAAGGTCCAGAGACCTAACCGCTACACTGTTTCTGGACTTAAAGTCATGCTGGCTACATGGGAACCTTGTTATTATCAGTTATTCTGAAAGACCTCATACATCCACTGACTGGGCAGCAGGGTGGCTCTGTGGTCAGACGCGTTATTTCTCTATTGAAGGACCCAGTTTTATGTACAGCAAAGAGTCATTTGCAAAAGTATCAGAACACACAGTGTTAAGTGAGAAACCTCTTTACAGCAGTGTTACATTTGTGAAGACAAACTATGACTAAGTCTGTCTTCACACATTTATTCCAAGATGAAGCTATTATGAGCCGCACTGACATTAAATACACTGAAATTAGAAGACACGTAATACTCTGTATAATCAGATAAATAAATATCAACAGTTTCCATCAAGATAGTCCTCAAATGCCAAGACATTATTAACAACTTCAAAAACAGGACTATTGTACTAGTGATGATCAAAACTACCAAGTACAAGGACCAAAGGACTAAGTCACTAAGACTTAAAAAGAAATAGGAAAACTGGTGTTTAGTCTATAACTCACGCTCTCACCTTTGTTGACATATTAGAGCCCTCCTCAACACAATACATTCTTAGTTGACTAACATACCAATTTGTTAACTTTAATCAATTATTTACAGAAATGTAAAACTGAGTCTCTTCACAAAGAATCACGAAAAGAAAACCAACATGACCTCTTTAAAAAAAAGGGGGCACCCATATGACATACTTAATAATATTACTGCTAAATCCTTTTACCCTGCTTTCTCAGCACTTTCATTATTACATCCATTTCTGTCGGCTTAACTGGAAACTGGAGGTGACATTACTGGGTTGCTCTACAAGTGTGTGCTTTCCCCTCGAGAAACAAAAGGCCCTGTGTAGGTAAATGTTGGACTAGTGTATGTTTTGCTATTTATAACCCCTGGGAGGCAAGGCATAAGAGACTGGTGTTCCCGACTGTGTGTGTTTGTCTGTACTGTAGCAGCCTTTGTTTCCTTGTATAAGCATGTTCTCCTCTCCTCTTCCTCAGAATAATAGCTTTGTTATTCCTTGCTGTCATTATAGAGAATGTGTGTACATAGCTGCTGGTGTGTGTTTGTGTGTTTGCCAGAGGATTTCTGTCATTCCTGCCACGGCCGGCATTCAGACTGTCTCTGTGAATTCGTACCTCCTAATATGGAGGAGGAGTTTTGACACTGCACACGCACGCTGCTGTGTCACATGACCCAAAGCAGGGATGCTAATGAGACCAGTAACTCAAGCTCATTGTGTGTTTCCACAGGTATAGAAGCAACACACATATCCCTCTTTTGTATATTCTATTATTTTATTTTCTATCCCCTTTCAGCCATTTCCAGTGCTGCTGTTGGCATCAGGCCAAGCCCCTCAATGAGTGACATTTACTTCACACACTGCAGCCTGACATCTGAGCGCCAGGCACAGCAGCACGGAGATGATGTCACACAGAGTTATTTCAAGGCCCGCTCTGTGTGTGTTGTAAAGTGTTGGTTTGAGGCAGGTTTGTGCAATAGGTGTTTGCTCAAGCCTGTCTTGTGTGTGTGTGTGTGTGTGTGTGTGTGTGTGTGTGTGTGTGTGTGTGTGTGTGTGTGTGTGTGTTGTGTGTGTGTGGTGTGTGTTGTGTGTGTGTGTGTGTGTGTGTGGTGTGTGTGTGTGTGTGTGGTGTGTGTGTGTGTGTGTGTGTGTGTGTGTGTGTGTGTGGTGTGTGTGATGTGTGTGTGTGTGTGTGTGTGTGTGTGTGTGGGTGTGTGTGTGTGTGTGTGTGTGTGTGTGTTGTGTGTGTGTGTGTGGTGTGTGTGTGGTGTGTGTGTGTGTGTGTGTGTGTGTGTGTGTGTGTGTGTGTGTGTGTGTGTGTGTGTGTGTGTGTGTGTGTGTGTGTGTGTGTGTGTGTGTGTGTGTGTGTCAGACGGAGTTAGCGATAGAGTTTCTCACACAAGGAAAATAAAGAAAGAACTTCTCAATTTGTAACCCTTCTCTGTCTCAACATGTACATTTCCATTTGATCTCTTTTAGTTTGATCTGCAGTTTGTAATTACTGTCAGGAAGTTACTTTGTTGGTTTGAAATCATTTCGGCCCAAAGCATTTTGGGCTAATAAGGATGCAAATGTTTGTCATGCATGGTTTTTCTATTACAGAAGGAAGGAAGGAATTTTTAGACCTTATATTTTTTACAACTGTTTCATATATTTAAACAAATGTTTTTTAAACACACAATATAAATGAAAAGAAAAATACTACACCAAATAGAAACCTTAAACAAAACAGGAAAGGAACAATGAATAAACAAGCAACCACTACAGAGGAGGACAACAAAGTGTGAAAAAACAGTTAAGGAGATTTTGGGAATTAAGAAAACATAAAAGCGCCGAGAAAAATCACATTCATCGATTTCCTTTACGTGACAATGGCAGGGATATTATTCTCCATTATTTTCATTCTGAATTGATTGTAATCATGATGACTGAAACATAGTTTACCCAGTAACTGTCTTGTCTTAAGTAAGGTTTACTCTGTCACAGTATATTAAATTGAAACATAAGTCTACTGTGTCAGATAATTCACTGATCTTCAATTTGTTTGGATCTACAACAATAACACAACATTTTGAATGAGCTTTGTCTCCTTATATACTTTTTCTATTAGTTATTTATCACATCATTCTGTTGTACTCAAAACTGTGGTTTGTTTAGCCTCTGTTTACATTGTTTCTCAGGTGGGGTTTCCCTCAGTGTTGTGTATATCCACCGCTCTTTGTTAGGGATGAATCAAATTGACACCACCCTCTCCTTCTTTCCCCAGACTCCCCAGTAGCAGTGCCGGTGTCGTGTGCGGCCTTGTTTCCCATGGACCTCAGGGTGGGAGAGCGGGGGATGCGCCCTGGATCGGACACGGCGCTCCTCACCCCTCTGCACCCGCCTCTACTCCTCACCCCCTTCTCCCCTCAGCCCCGCACCTCCTTCTCACAACAGCAACTGCACCAGCACATTCGGGTAAATGATGTAAAAGATAACATACCCTATTAAATCTCTGAATAAAGACCCATTTGTTTGGAAAAGGTCCATAGATTATGTTGCTATAAATAAATGTGTGTTTCTTTGCAGTTTAATATGGAGCAGAGGAGGCGAGAGCAGGAGCACCACGAGAAACAGCATGAGCTTCAGCAGCTAAAGCACAAAGACAAGAGTCAACAGAGTGAGTCACACACTTATTTAACGTTGAGTATGTTACTACGCCTTTCAGTTTACATCTGAAGTTGTAATTTAATATCCACTGCACGCTATATAAAGCTATTTTCATGGTTTTAAAAGTAATTATGGCCCAGAGTGCTAATCTTAACCTAAGAGGAAAGTCCCCGTAAGAGTTCATGTTCATCTTTATTTAACGGTGTTACTCCACTTCCAACCGGCTTTGCTTTGAGATGAGACCTAAATATAACCTGACAAGTGGAGCTACAACAGTGGAGTTAAATTTAGCGCTAGGTCTGGGCAAATAATGTCACTGGGTCAATATTGACTTGATCACTCCTAGCACCTCCTGTCACCTCCGTGTGCACACAACGGCACACACAGAAATTGCAGCAAACATAAAGTCCCTTCCGCACTGACATTTCCGGGAACATTTCCTGCTTGGGGTCATGTGTGAATAAGAGTAGGGATTCATATTCAGAGAAATCCTGTACTGCCAATTTCCCACCTCAAGACCTGGTAACCTCAGCCAGTACAATAAAACAGTGACATTACAGAGACTTCCACTTAAAGGTCTACGTCTCCGTCACATGGAGCAAGCAAACCAATCACAACATGCCAGTACTTGTTAATTGTCTTATGTTGAAATAAATAAATTACAAGAGTATTGCTAGCCATGTTCCTGAAAGTAATAAGAGACAGCTTCCTTAGTCACTGCTGAGTCTCGCATTGGCCCGTTGGCCATTGGCCCTTATTGAGAGATGCAGACTACAAATCAACAATCGAACGAATTTCACATGATCTTGTGCTGACATGTGACATGTAGCATTGGCCATACATACACATACATCCTTCTTCTTTTTCTTCTTCTACTACTACTTTTCTTCTAATGATTTTTATTACAGACTTCTACTGGTTGTACTGCCATGGCATGTGTTGAAAGGCACATGAAGGAAATGTTCCTGAATATAGGGCATCTGTGAGTAGTGGAAATCCCCAACGCTGCCTTAGAGGTGATCCCAGTCATTGACAGGGTAATATGTGTGATAGAGGCTTCAGAGATGGCAGTGACCTAACCCTTCATCCAACACTAATGTACTCTGCATGAGCTCTCCTAAGTATTGTTCTTGTGATCTTTGACCTATATTTTATAACTGTGATGAAGCAGTAGGTGCGTCCTTCGTCTGAGTGTGTGTTTTTGATTGACAGGTGCAGTCGCTAGTTCCCTGGTGAAACAGAAGCTGCAGGAAGTGATTCTTAAGAAGCAGAAACAGGCGCTGGAGAGAACAACCTCCAACACGCTAAATGGAACTCCTATTGCTTACAGGTAACACACAATGCATATCAACTGAGCACAAAGGGGGATTATCAAAACACTACACAAAAATACATCATGAACACATTGATTATAAAACATGTCTGAATCGACACTCCACAGTCTGATCATTCTTAAATTGCCCTTTGATTCCTTGTCAACTCTAAAATCTGAATTTAAAGATTTTTCACTTGGAAAGTACTTGTATGTTTGCCTATATCTGATAAGCCTGCATTTTGCAACTTGTTTTAGACGATTGCCAATACTGATACAAATATACATACTTTGTTTCCACCTAATTGCAGAGAACAGGAATTCTCACTTTTCAAAATATACACTTTCACTGAACAAATAAAGAAAAATAACCTAAACTTAGGTAAAATTATGACATGCTGCAATTATGTGTATGTAACAAACCAAAGGTCCTGCTCATGTTTGGCCAATATTGATATTTCCTTTTAAAGCCTTCTTCTACCAATGACTTGCTCATATCCTCATGCCCCCCTGTTTCTACGCCCTAATGGTTGTATGTTCAATTGTGTGTGTGCCTTGTGTTTTCAGAAAGCTGGGCCCAGACCCCAGTTTGTCCTCCCAGGGTCCGGGCTCCTCTCCATCTCAGCCTTCTGAAGGATCAGAACGGACGCCACTGCGCAGAGCAGGTAAACATCTAACATCCAACCGTCACTGTGACTGAATCAGACTCATTCAAATGTTCAGGATAGAAATGTAAAAAGTATGAATTGAAAATGTTATTATTCAAATGGCAAGTCTCAGTCTTTCCCAACCAACTTGTTACTGTGTTTGAACAGTTGTTTAGGAACCTTTCGTCCCACTCCCTACTTCATACAAAAGGGTTGCAGCATTGATAAACTAACCAAAATACAAGACACATTTTTCTTGCGTAATCACAGCCTGTCATCTTTTTAGGGTCAACTTTATGGTTGACAAGAAATTGCATGAAGTAACATTCCCCCTGTTGCTTTAATTTGTTTAGCGTCAGAGCCCAATCTGAAGGTGAAACACAAGCTGAAGAAACACCTAAACACACGCAAGAGCCCGCTCACCCGCAAAGAGAGCGCCCCAGCCACTGTGAGGCACCGAGTGCCTGACACACTGGGTAAATACACTCACACACATCGGAGTGCTGATGCATGAATGTTATTTCATACTGTGTTATTATTCAGTGACTTTTCATTTTTTCCTCCTATTATTTTAAGAAATGATGTGCTGATCTGATCAAATGTAATGTAATGGAAATATGATAAAGATGCAGAACCATATTGTCCACACCGCCTGTCTCCCTGCAGACTCGTCCCCCAGCAGCGGCAGCACTCCGGCCTCCGGCTGCAGCTCCCCCAACGACAGCCTGCCCCATGAGAACGGGATGCTGCCCTCTGCAGGCGGCCTCTCGCATGAGGTGAGCAGCAAACATGTTGTTGTTAATACAATAAAACCAACTAAAACACAGTGATGGACAGTAACTAAGTATATTTACTCAAGTATTCTACCGAAGTTCAAATTTGAGGTACTTTACTTGAGTATTTCCTTTCCATGCCACTAAATACTCCTACAATTCAAAGGATAATGATGTACATGTCCTGCACTACATTTATCTTACAGCTGTATTTACTAGTTACTTTAATAATTAAGACTTGTTGCATAAAAAACATTTTTGGTATGTATTTAAATATCCAACAGTTTATACAGTTAAAGCTACATGATTAGACATATGATCAGTTAGCAGACTGAGTCGTAGTTTATTGGAATCTATTTACATTTAGGTATTTTTTTGCATGAAGTACATTTATCAGATTATGCTTAATTACTTTTACTTAAGTAACATATTAATTGCAGGATCTTTAATTGTAACAGAGTATTTTTACACACACTGTGGTATTAGTACTTTTATTTAATACCAAAAAGTCCATGCGTATAGTGTTAGAAGATAAAGTCATCTTCATCTGAGCCAGATGCATCCTACTCTCAGTTTCTCCTTGCCTATTTTAGTTTACATTTGTAGGCAGTTAGTAGTGCAGAGTACACCTCAGTACACCTCTAAACATTGCATTTACTTAGGATTCTTTACCGGAAACAAGAAAGGTACATCACTCAAATAGAAGTTTCTCTTTAAATAGTTACGAAATCAGAGGAAATGGATAGATAAAAAGAAAAATCTAATAATCGGACAGACTCTTAAGTAAGTACACGGTTTGACCATGCCAATGAGCTGCACCCAGATGCTGAGTAATGAAATGTTTAAAACAACGACATTGGAGCACATTGAGTTTGTCAGCTGTTCATACATTATTCATTTAATCACAACCAGTCAACCTGCTGTATCACACCTGCCGCAGATTGCTGACTCGTCATTCTACAGTGTCGAGACAGCACACCCCTTTCAATGCAATAGGCTCTATTACATGACATTTGACATGTGTGGCCATGTTATTAAACAAACTAATGGAGCAATATGGCCAAATAATTATTTAATGCTTTAAACAATAAAAACGAAATGAGAAGTTTAAATTAAATATTTCTTTATTTTAAGATTTTATAATGTTTACCTTTACAATTTAGCGTAACACGATTTAAATGTAATTATGTAAATGAGTTTAACATCTTTTTTATAGGATACATAACCAGCTCATGTCTTTAATGCTAAGTTTGGATTTGAAGATAAAGGTGCTATGTTGGATGTTTGTCATCTACAGGCGCAGAGGCTGCTGCTCAGAGACGGCACTCTGGCTAACTTCACCATCCAGAGTCCCTCCACCCTGCCCACCATCACACTGGGACTGCCAGCCAATGCCAGGGTAAACACTCAACTGAAACTAATGTGTATAGTTGTTTCGTAAAAGTGATTTATTTAATGATATTTGACTAGACTAACGCAGTGATCTGCTCCATTTAAGGTTTGGATACTACAGGCAAAACAATGTTTTTTCCAACACAAATCCATTAAGCCACGCATTTATAAATACTTCATTCACAAATTTGAGAGTCTCAGTCTCAGTCCCAGACCAACTGAAGATAGTCCATCAAAGCTCAAATCAGGAAGTTATCTGTTGCTATAAAAGCTGTTTATCTGTGTGTGCAGGCTGAAGGAGAGATGTCCTCTCTCAGGCTGGGCCGGGTGCCCGTAGTTACAGCCGGGGGCTCAACGGTCTACCTCCCCCTGAGCAGAGAGGACCAGGCTGGGCAGCTGAACCCTCATCTGCCTGTCATCATCCTGGAGTCCTCGGGGCTGGTACACACTCCGCTTCTCACAGGTGAGACAACACACACACATACAGTCTACTGCACACCAAATACTGTATGTGTACTGCCAGAAGCTCACCAGTTTAGGATGTTGAAACTCTGATAAGGAAACAATATGTTTGCATTCTATAACAGATGTTAATATCAGAGTAGGATTAAGTGCCACAAAGGGAAAGTTATGAGTCTACTCTCACTATTGTCTCCGGGTTTTAGAGCACTGTCTAGTGGTTACTAGTGGTAACTACTTTTTGACAAAGCAACACATAAGTAAAATGATCTGTTATATTTTGAAATAAATGATATTGAAAGGTAAATAAAGAAGATTCAATTAAATTGATTTACAAGGCAGCAGGTGCAATTTTTACATTGCTATAGCTATTGGTTGTTCATGTCTGTGTACATACATGTTACTCTGTTTCCATTTGCAGAAACTGATTTGGTTTCTTCTCCTTTTTGTCTTCGACCAGTTCAAGGTTTAGACTCCGTCCCACTACAGTTCGACCCCCAGTTAGATCACATGGCCTCTGGAGGCGCTCATCCTCACAAGCCCCTGAGCCGAACACGCTCGGAGCCCCTCCCCCAGAGCATGCGGACCCTTCACTCACATCTCCTCCAACAGCAGCACAACACACAACTACTGGAGAGGCTATCTCACCTGGGCAAGGTATGGAGTAGTGAATACACAAACTCATGAAAAATAATCAAAAAATCGTTTTAAGAAATAGTCTTTATTGTCCCAGAGGGTAATTAGTTTTCCCACCTTTTACAAATTCCATACAGAAATACGTAAAACATACACATGGTCAAATCTACACATATCAATGAATGTCCCTCACACTTGCACTCACACACATTAGGCAAGGCAAGGCAAGTTGATTTATATAGCACCTTTCAACACAAGGCAATTCAAAGTGCTTTACAAAAATGAAAGACATTAAGAGCATTAAGAAACATATTATAAAATGATATCTAGAAAAACTCTATTAAAAGTAATGATATAAAATGACATTTAAAAACACTCATTTAAAAGCAAAGATAATAAAAGTTTCAGTGCAGTTTAAGATATGAATATATCAATTAAAAGCAGCGGCAAAAATAAAAGTCTTCAGCCTGGATTTAAAAGTAGTCAGAGTTGCAGCGGACCTGCAGGTTTCTGGGAGTTTGTTCCAGATATTTGGAGCATAATAACTGAACGCTGCTTCTCCATGTTTAGTTCTGACTCTGGGGACAGAAAGCTGACCAGTCCCTGAAGACCTGAGAGATCTGGATGGTTCATCATTTAGCAGATCAGAAATGTATTTTGAGCCTAAACCATTCAGTGCTTTATAAACCAGCAGCAGTATTTTTGAAATAAATTCTTTGACATACATTAAGATGGATTCATCTTCCTATTATACACACATGCATTTCCAAACATTTGGACTACCTATGTTGTAAATGTATTATATTTTCAATTTACACACGGCATCTATTGCACATCTGTCCGTCCTGGGAGAGGGATCCCTCCTCTGTTGCTCTCCCTGAGGTTTCTCCCATGTTCCCCTTAAACTGTGGGTTTTCTCCGGAAGTTTTTCCTTGTACGATGTGAGGGTCTAAGGATAGAGGGTGTCGTATTGTCATACTGATATTCTGTACAAACTGTGAAGACCACTGAGACAAATGTAACATTTGTGATATTGGGCTATATAAATAAACATTGATTGATTGATTGAAGATATCTTCAGAGGGTCCTGTATCTATGACCCAATGGCATTAATGGGAAATGTGTTTATTTATTACTATTATTCGTAGGGACTGGGAGGCAAATTAATAATTTTCAAAATGTAACAGTTTAACTGGCAGTTTGTTTACATATATCACTGTGGTTATTGCTTAAACATTTTTTTTTTATAAATATGAAATGCCAGTATTGTAATTGGGAAAAAATCTGAAAATGGCCGACTATAAGTTTGAAGCCAGGACTCTGTACTGAAAGACAGTAACAATAAAATGCATAATTGTTATGCTGCAATAACCTTGGGATTCAAAGTTGTGGTTTCGGTAATAGGGCCACACAGATTATTATAGATTTATTTAAGGAACTATGACTGAACTTTCAAAATAGAACGAACAACTCAAACTCTTGCCAGCATGTGCAACCTTAAACTTTAAAACAGCGATGATATATCCTGAATATTGCCTTTTAGACTGCCTTTGCTTTGCTTTGTCTTTCGAAGGAATTGTTAACTGTTTTTGAAAGTGTTATTTAAATAAAATGTTCCTTTTTTCAATCTATAGCTGATGTCTAAGTCCAGCGAGAAGCCCCGGCTGCATCAGATCCCCTCTGAGGACATGGACTCAGAGGACGGCGGAGAGACGTCGCCCACAGAGCCAAACTATCAGAGCAGAGTGAGGGCGGAGTCCCTGAGGGAGGCGGAATCAACAGCATCCAAGAGCCAGGAAGAGCAACTGAACCTGCAACATGCACTCATACTCAACCAGGTTAGTATCTCATGAGATACACAGAAATGAAACTCCACCTGCTCTTCATCAAACTGTCCTGTAGGTGGCAGCCTAACACCAGCATGATCCTCTTCCATGGTTCTGTGGTTTGACAAGCACTCATTACATCAAGTGGTTATTTCAGCATGGTATGGATACAGGTTACTGTTACTCTTTCATAAAATGTGTCAGTCACTGATCAGACAAACCACACAGTGAGGAATCAGGCTTTGTTGGAAGCTAGTGAATAGTTTTACTAACCTGTTTTCAAGGGAGAAAAATTACTTCCAGATTCAGAGCAACTTGATATTGAGAGACCCAGACTGCTCTCGATGGAGCAGGTCAGATCAGAGCGGCTGAATAAAACCATCTGAGATTTTATTGACATTAAGCTGGAGGGAGTTATGTGGCTTCCAGCACTGTATATCAGTCTTGAATACAGATCACTTAGAGAGCCATGTACAGCTGCATGCCACATGTGTAGCGATGGAACTCAATGTTATCCTCATAACATTCAGAGGTGGCCAAACCTTCAGATTTTTGGCCATACAGAAAAATGTAAGGCGTCATTGGCCAAGCCTTAGTAAATACATAGTTCTGTACCATTATCACTAGAAGGAATTTGTGTTTTTAGACACAAACAACCCATGTACTGTATCATAGAAATGTATAAAAGTGTCCATCAACATTACTATGCAGCGCTTACAGACAGGTACATATTTCACATTAGTATTTTATTGGTGGGCCCACACATACTTATAAGTGTTTCTGTATCTGCTGCTGTTAGAATCAATTTCAATTTAAATAATGTAATACTTTTTAACTCTAATACCGTGCATAGTCTAAGAGGCCACACAAAGTTAAGTTAAAACATAAATGATCAAATATTGCTTTCTGTGCCAGAAAGCAAGACAGAGATAATTTCACTTAATAAAGTCCACATTTAGTTTAAAACCTACATATGAATGTGGCCACTCCAGGCTAAGAAGAACAACGTTTTAACTGTTTCTGTTCTACACTTTCATATTAACTGTGTCTCGTTTTATTTGTATGTTATTAAGTTATATTTTTATTTATGACTTGACTCTTTTCCCTCTGTATCACGCTTTCTCTTCTTGTAGTCGTTGCTGTGGGAGCAGCAGAAGCAGCTGCAGCAGCTGCATCGACAGATGGAGACCCTGGCAGTGCCCATGTTACGCGGCGGTGGGGGGGTTGGCAGTGGGTTGGGGGTCCATCGCCCCCTGTCACGTACACAGTCGTCCCCGGCCTCCACCTGTCTCACTCTGCCTGAGAAAGCCCTGAGCCTGGCTACACAGGAGACCAGCAGCAAAACACGCTTCACCACCGGTGAGTCACATATGTTAATATGGTAATAAAATACATCATTATATGATTTTCTTAAATATATTTAAATCTGGGTGACCCTATGGCTCAGGGGTTTAATCACAGATTAGATAACTGCATTCACGGTGCGAATATGAACGTTGTAGCTTGTTTTTACCCATCCTAAAAAAACGATGTCCCAAATAATTATCACATTAATAATAATGACAAATAAATACATTTTATTTTGTTCTGAAAAAAATATGCTTTGAACGCCAAAAAATATGCTAAACTATAAATAGGAAATAATGTCACCTATCGCAACTTCGATATACTCTATATTGCTTGTACAAAATGAATGTGGAAATTAATTCAGATTTTGTGTGTGTGCAGGCCTGGTTTATGACTCTCAGATGCTGAAGCACCAGTGTACATGTGGAGACAACAGCAGTCACCCAGAGCATGCTGGGAGGATACAGAGCATCTGGTCCAGACTACAGGAGAGAGGCCTGAGGGGGCAGTGTGAGGTACGACCAGAAACTTCTTAGAAAATCGAATTCTATATATCTGTCTGAAAATAGAGAGGTTGAAAGATAATCTTGCTTTCTGTCTAGTTTAACATTATTACTTTGACATCATTGATATGCATAATATGATGGCTTATGTTATGTCACGTTTATATTACTAACCTCAACTGTTGTGTTCATACAGACTATTCGTGGTCGCAAAGCCACTCTGGAGGAGCTGCAGTCGGTCCACACTGAGCGCCACGTGTTGCTCTACGGCACCAACCCGCTCAACAGGCTCAAACTGGACAACCGCAAACTGGCCGGTACGCAGACCCTCACACTGATACTTCATGTCTTAATGTGTTAGTAACTAGTGCCTCACTTCCCCCAGACAGTGCTCTGATGAACGATAAAGGATTCATATTATTAAAATATTATATTATTATTATTATCCATCAGACTCTTAGTTTCCTTCTACCTTTTTTATTCTTTATTCTAACAAAACAACATTAAAGAATAATTGATCATGAAATATTATCGATTAAGCTAAAACCATTCTTGAGTAAGTAGATACAAAATTGTAAAAATATGCTTTACCTTAACAAACTGACACATTAATGCATTGTATTATAAAATCCAGTAATATAATATATATAATTATAGAATTGGCTGTTGTGCCAAATTAGTGTATATACTTGTTGTACTTCAAGAATGTTGTCTTAACTAAGAGTATGAATGCAGTACTTTATTCACAACTGTCTTCTTGACATAAAACAATGATGTAGAAAACCATAAAATAAATAAATGAGAAAGTCTGAATACACTTAAATGTTTTATGTTTCTGTTTCTCAGGAATCCTCTCTCAAAGGATGTTTGTGATGTTACCATGTGGGGGAGTAGGGGTAAGAGAAAACACACGCACACACACTCACACACATATGAATCTATTTTTGATCATACTGTTATTCTCAAAAGCTCTTAATGAAAGCTATGCAAAACTGCATTGATGAAAGATGACATTTCTTCAAAGCAAAGCAACAGACGAAAGAGAGAAACAGACAGGAAAGGAAAGAGGAAAAGAGACTTGGCTTATGTTTGGCTGACAGTCCGTGTCGGACCATGACAACTCAGAACTAATGAGAGCAACATGTCCGTGACCGGGGATAAAAGAAATGCCTCAGATTTCATTGTCAAAGCCAGATGGACAATATGCTAGTTTGTGAACAAATAGAGAAGAGAAACAAAATAAAAAAGGATTTATTTTGATCTGGACCCCACATCTGTGTGTTGGTCATCCTTGTCCAAGAGAAAGCCTTCAGTTTTCTGTTATTGTCCCACAGGGATCAGATATTATAAATATGTCCACGCTGTTTGTTTTTACTCAGTCACTCAGTGGCCTTCATCATTTGTCTCTCACATTTGGCAGGTTGATAATGACACCATCTGGAACGAGTCGCACACTTCAACAGCGTCACGCATGGCAGCAGGCAGCGTGGTGGAGCTGGCCGTCAGAGTGGCCAAAGGAGAGCTAAAGGTGAGGAACAGAAAGCTCCACACGTCCATCTGTCATCTCCAGACTACATGTGCTCCATCTAGAGGGAGTTTCCCTCCCACACACTCCCCCCCTGCCTTCAGCTTCTATTGGCTAGCGCTCCAACACATAGTACGTGATAGTCTAAGGTGTGGGACATCGCTTAGCAGTTGACCAATCACAACAGAGCTGGCCAGCTAGCCAATGAGAGCAGACTGGGCTCTGGTTTCAGACAGAGGGTGAAAAGAGGTGCTGCAGCACAGGCAGTATGAGAAAAATAAAGATCTTTTTGAACATTAAAGCATGGAGACATGTCACAGTAGAAATTGAACATAATAGGGCCCCTTTAAGCACTGTCATCTCAAAGGCATGGGGTAATTTAGAGATTTCAAACTAGGTTTAACAGATGTATTTTTCAAACAATTTACCACGGACTCAATGTACTGTTTGCACAAGTTTGTAAGTTAAAGTACACAATAACATTTCTCTAAATTATTTCTACACCAACCATGTGTTCGCTAAATGTAGGTTTTTTTCAAGTGGAATACTGGGTAATTAATTAAAGATTTGACATTTTACCCTATTGCACAAGTGTACACTTTATAAAGAATATTTTTACCACCATACCGTGTGTCGGACAGCCCTTTCCGATGGGGAATTAAAGCCGTTATCTATGATGTCTTCAAAGCCACAAGACTGTAGGACAAAAACCTTTACCCTCTTTAGACCAGGAGCTGCTGGTCTACCGCTAGCTTGATCACTTTTGTTTGTGTGACTTAGTGTTTTAAAGGGTAAGATACACCAGAGTATTACTCGTCCCACTAGCCCACTTCAAAGAAAAGGTTCAGGAAAGAGTTTTCCTGTCTCATCGTGGCTTTCCTTTGCTAAACTTGTTTTCTTATTCAGATTGGTCAAAAATATGATTGACTTGAAGCTTGTAGCTTCAAACCAAACAGTACTAACTTAAAGAAATAACAACAAAAAGACGATGTAAAACAAGGCAGGCCACTAAAGCTCAGTCTATACCGAGCAGTGGTCGAACACAACCACAGGATCAACCACTCCACTTCAGAACAGCTGTTTCCGAGCTATACATATGGCAGGGAATGTATACTCTATACTTATTTACAATGCAACATAATGAGTAACTTGAATGGCCTCCATGATGCATTGTCTTTACATTGCAAGATGTCATGTATTTGACCTCATGTTTACATGTTTAAAAAAAGGAAAGAAAATTAAGAACTCTGTGGTGGAGTGACAAAAATGACAGCTTAACGTAATTCATATTCTTGGGCAGGCTATGGCTCAGTAGGGTTAGTGGTTCAATTCCCAGCCCCATGTTGAAAAGTGCTTGGGCAAAATTCTTAACCCCTTAGTGCACTAGTAGGCCTATCTACGGTATTGAAGTGTAGCTGTAGTTACATCATAATAATAATAATATAAATATATTAGGGCTGTCAAACGATTACATTTTTTAATCAGATTAATCACAGTTTAAAAATTAATTAATCATGATTAATCACCATTCGAACTATGTCCAAAATATGCCATTTATTTATGTATATTGTTGTGGGAATGGAAAGATAAATGAAAGAAGGCGGATATATCCATTTAACATACAGTATCTATGTTTATTATAACATTTTTCTGCGTGTCAAAATGAAAGACAATCCACACACCTATCAATCATCAAACCGTGGGGTCTTAATTCATTACGTGTTGATTTCTATCAACGGGGGAGTACTTCAGGAAAGTCGACGGGGGGGGGGGGCGGCGGCTAGTGGAGTACTTCGTGACCACAGAGTGTGAACGTTGTGATCAGCTGTTTTAGCGCAGTTCTCCAGTGAAGGGGGGGAGTCTCCCTCCGCAGCCGGTTGGCGTAGTTTTGGCACAATTCCGTTGTACAGACCGACGTTAACAGCAGCCCTGTCTGTGCACACGGAGACCGACTCAGCTTCACAAGTACGTCGGTACGCAAATGCGCTTTGTGACACAAGTGACCGTACGCATTTCAGAGAGATTACGCACATAACCTGCGTACCAGTTATGTGCACCCCTGTACTACAGCAAAAGTATTCTCCGTCGGGACTTCCTGCAACAACACCACGCCGTTATCAAAGATGTTCTATTGAGAAGACGATCACTACGTGACAAAAGTTTTCAAAACCGTGGCTACTGAAATCAATCTTACTAACTGCTGTCTGTGCAATTTACTCCGCGCGAGTTGGCAGACTTTATTTTGCTTCCTTTAACATCATTTTTCATGGTGGGGCTAAGCCATTTCTTGGTATGGGTGTAGCCTACCCCAGCCATACCCTGGCGCTGCCACTGGTGGCACGTATGGGGCGGGCCATTCTGCCCATGCGTTAAATGCGTTAAATATTTTAACGCAATTAATTCAAAAAATTAATTACCGCCGTTAACGCGATAATTTTGACAGCACTAAAATATATATAAATTATAAGATTTGCAGTCAGACTGTATGTGAACCGTCAAAAATAACAAAGAACCTACAGCATGTGTTATTTTAGTTAGAATATGTTTTTTGCCATTTAATTACAATGGTTTTCCGTTATATTATTGAATAAAGTGCTCATAAACTACTTCAATTACAACCCCATCAATATCTAAATAATATTTTAATATGTGTTTTCTTTAATGAAGATTTATCTTTATTGTGCGCCAAACTTATTATGTTCCTATACATCATATAAGCCTTCGACTTTGAAAGAGCTTAGTTTCTTACCAGCTTAACTTTGTATCCTGTCAAACATTGATTAATAGAGTCTTCTTCTTCTGCACAGAATGGCTTTGCTGTGGTCAGACCGCCAGGGCATCACGCAGACCCCTCCAATCCTATGTAAGTGTGTGTGTGTGTGTGTGTGTGTGTGTGTGTGTGTGTGTGTGTGTGTGTGTGTGTGTGTGTGTGTGTGTGTGTGTGTGTGTGTGTGTGTGTGTGTGTGTGTGTGTGTGTGTGTGTGTGTGTGTGTGTGTGTGTGTGTGTGTGTGTGTGTGTGTGTGTGTGTGTGTGTGTGTGTGTGTGTGTGTGTGTGTGTCACTCACATGCTCAGCCGCAGTGCTTTGTTCTTCACTTGCTGCACTGTCAGCAGCTTCTCTGTGGATGATACTTATGATGTGACAGAGAAAAGGGACACAATAAGGAAGATGAATAGTTTGTTTGTGTATGTGTTTTCCCTTTGCTATACTTTTTTATATTCTTCTTACTATTTATCAGTACAATCATGTACAACTACTCTACTGTTTGCCATTTCACATTAATGACATAATATACATTAGTGGATGAATGCTCTGCTGAAGAACAGTTGTGGGCAACATTAAAACAAAATAAGATTTGTAAAGTTATCAGACACATCAGACAGCCAAAGCTTAGTCATCCAGTATTCCTGACTGGCTGTACATCCCTCTTTCTATAATTGAGCAGTTAAAGGTAACAAATCAAATCAAGTTTTATTTATATATCACATTTTTAAAACGATCTTTGGTCGAGCCCAAGTGCTGTACATATAATAATTACCTTACAGTAAGGACACTATACAGTAAATACAACAGCACAGATTGTGCAAAATATCAGTATGAGAAAACGACACCCTCTATCCTTAGACCCTCACATCATACAAGGAAAACCTTCCAGAGAACACCCACAGTTTAAAGGGGAAAATGGGAGAAACCTCAGGGAGAGCAACAGAGGAGGGATCCCTCTCCCAGGACGGACAGACGTACAATAGATGCCGTGTGTAAATCGAAGAGATAATACATTTTACAGCGTAGGTAGACCGAATGTTTGGAAATGCATGTGTCTATAATAGGAAGATGAATCCACGAGGATGTCAACAATCCTGTGGGAGCCATCAGGGAAGTAGTATGATGAGAGTCAGGCAGGACCGCAGAGACAGGCCCAGCCACGACTCGAAGTCCAAGACTCAGATCCAGTACTCAGTATAGAGGATCCAGGGCACAGGACCACAGCAAGAGGATCAGCCTCGACTCCGGATCCCGGCGTAGATATAGACACAAAAGAAAAAGAAAATTTGGGGGAGGCTGGGTTAATCGGAACATGCAAATACACAGACAGGCACACGCAGGGAGCAAGGTCCCCGCTGGGGCCTTAGATTGGAATTGGTGAGGGATAAGGAGGTACGCTGTGACTACGGCATAACACTCCCCGGCCTTGGATAAGGACCCCTCTGCAAACCTGTTTCCCTCCAATAAAACCTTGTGAGGTCATGGAGGGAAAAGGTTTTGGATAAAGAAAAAATAGAAAGAGTAGTAATATTCCTTAGTTTTAAATATAAGATCCAAGTTTTTAGGATTTAAGTGAAAGAGCAATAACCAAAATGTAGGTGAAGAGGCACAGCGTATCTGCGTCAAAGCACTCTCATTAGGTTATTTTATCAACTATAAGCTTTATCAAAAGGAGGGTCTTAAGCGTAGTCTTAAAACGGATAGACTGTCAGCCGCCCGAACACAAACTGGAAGCTGATTCCACAAAATATAGCTAGTAACTATAGCTATAGCTACTGTAGCTATAGTATAGCTGTTGTTATTCTGAGGTACTTAAGCATATTTCCTGCAGTAGATGGTGGTCTGCACACCACACGTTTGGAGAAATAGACAGTTGGTTATAGCACTGAATAATATTACACTGTCTGTAGTTAAGTACATCATACAATCATACTTTAAACAATCTAAACTATCCTTTTAAAGTATTTGCTTTCTCAATCACTGCCAAACTTCATCCTGTCTTTCTGTGTCCATCAGGGGTTTCTGTTACTTCAACTCTGTGGCCATAGCCGCCAAGCAGCTCCAACACAAGCTCAGCGTCAGCAAGGTCCTCATCGTGGACTGGGTGAGTAGGCCTTTTTCTGGAGGCTTCACTGCTGTTGTTTATACTGTGAAATCAGAGATCCTATATTTGTCCCGCAGTAAAATTATTCAACATTTAACATACAGTATCATAGTGTTGGAGTTCAGTGCCTTGTTCAAGGGCACTTTGACAGTACGTGGTCTTGAACCGGCAACCCTCCGGTTCCCTAGACAGGTCCCTTTGAACAAAGCTGCTGCTTCCCTAATTTGAATGTATCTCCTTTGGTATTGCTATGTGTAATATTCAAATGTTTTCCCTCTTTCTGTTTGCTAGGATGTTCACCATGGAAACGGCACCCAGGAAGTGTTTTACAATGACCCCAGCGTTCTCTACATCTCACTTCATCGCTATGACGATGGAAACTTCTTCCCTGGCAGTGGGTCACCAATGGAGGTGGGTGTTGGCCAGGCCACGTTGTAGTCCTTCGTTACAGCTGACATGGGAGATACATATATGTATTTTGATTAAACAATTGCCCTGCATGAATAAAATACAACATGTGTTTTATTTTGGGTTCAGGTTGGGTCTGGAGCAGGCCAGGGCTTCAATGTGAATGTGGCATTCACAGGAGGCCTGGACCCCCCCATGGGAGATGCTGATTACCTCGCTGCATTCAGGTACAGCCAACAGCTCTGTTCAAAACACTGTAACACAAGCTGACATTATAAGAGATAAGTTTAAGTTGTTACGAATTTAAAGGGTTCATTCACAAAAAATACTTGATTCTGTTGGGCCTTGTATGTTGTCAGGGTTTAAGCCCCGGTAAACTGTGCATCAAAACAGCCGGGATGACGTATTGGCCACAAGTTTATTTAAACCCAGCAACATCGATCATTTCAATCAGGCGCAAAAAAAAAGAACAACTTACACTTCTGCCAAACTTTATGGCTGTGTTTGTCTTTCTGTCTCTGCATTTCTAAACGTTAGCCCAAAAGTTAACCCAATAAACATTGAAGCAGATTATCTATGTTTGATGATTGTGAATTATAATGAGTTATAATGAGTGAGCGAGTAATCGCACAATTCCTCTGTTTTCCTTCACACTGAGCCACAACAAACACAGGTCGATGATCAGAGGCTCAGTGACACAGCGCCTCTGACACACTTCCTGCGTAATTAATAATCCTCCTCATTTGTAGAGCATGTGTCTGGCGCTCCCTGTTTCCAATAACTTGCCGTAAACGGTCTCCAGGTCCCTTGTTTGACAGACTGCGGATCTTTACTTCCTGTTTGTGGGTTGGATAATTGTCATCAGGGTGTGTTTGGCTCCAATAAAGTTTCAGCAGTGTGGGCTCTTTGGTCGTCTGGTGCATGACCGCAAGGTTACTGGAAAAGTCGCAGACGTACAGTAATGGGGGTAAATGTGCGTATGCTCACAAGAAGGCATATGTTTATATACAGTAGCATACTTGGGGACCAACACACAAGTTCACACACATGCATAATGTGTAGGCCATGATCTTAAAGCCCGTGTCACACTGTCCCGAAATTGACACCAGATGGACACACGATAAAGGAAATGTTCAAATTGGGCTCTGATCATAACAACATCGGGCCATTCGTGAGGGCATCTTAAGTCATCGTATGACCGCCAGTGGAGTTTCTCAGGCTCCAGCAGCAACTTCGTGAGCGGTGGAAAAATCTTTGGCATGCCAAAAAATTGGAGAAAGACCTTGCGAAGGTTCATTTTCGTGTTGAATTCATGTGTCCATTTTGCCCTTTGTAAGGCCATCGTGAGGGCATCTTGTCAAATCGTGTCATCTTCGTCTTTACTTCGTGTGATCATCGGTGCCATCAGGCATTTTTCGCCTCACGAAGACAATACGAAGGAAACAAGAAGCGGCCCGATTGTCTTAGGAAGGCAACAAGACTACGTGAAGCCCTCGCAATGCCGTCGTGTAGCCATCGTATTATAGTACGATTTGTGTTCTGTGAAACTGAAAAGGATATTACATTGTTTTTGTTACTTTCGTTGCAGTTGTATGTCTTAAATGTAATTTAGGTTAACTTCCTGTTTTATTTAGATGCTTTTATTTTGAAGGCGAGTTTACGCTGTTGACAGGAAGTTGTTGTTGCTATGGAAACAACATGACAGAGTGTGTGGTTCGGGTGCCATCGTGTGGCCTTCTGTAGGCATTGTACTTGCTTCGGCTGTTGCTTGGCTGTTGACCAAGTTCGGAGCCATCTTCGTGCAAAATTCACAATTCCATATTCGTGTGTCCATCTGGTGTCAACTGATGTTTCCTTTTCTATTTTCGAATTCAATTTTCTAATATTACATGTGTCACACGTCTAAATCGCGCCACTTGAGTCTCCTCCTCATACACCCTAACGTGTCAACAGACCAACTGTTCTCAAACATGTTCTCTTGTGCAAATAACTCTTTCTCAAATTTATAACGTTTTTTTTATACTTTTAGGACTTTCTTTCAACATATTATACTTTTGCAACGTATTTTGGCCAAGTTCGGTAATTTCAAAAAGGAGTGGCAACATGTCTCCAGTGTCCCAAACTTGATTGACACCTATGATTCACATAATCACTACCACCCAGTGTGAGATTAATTCAGACATACAACTGCTAATTTGAAGGGTTTTAGATATGAAAAAAGTTAGAAGGGGACCTTCTTTCTTAAGTGTTCCTGAGCAAAAACACTGATTCCCTCTCAGGCCTGTTATTTTGCAGCGTGAGCCTGACCTCTGACTTTTCCGTGCTAGACATTCCAGTGAGAATAATTCTAAGCAGGGGGGGAATGCACCCAGTGTTTTTGAGGGGGAAACAAGTCTCCTCCATGGCAGTGTCGTGGAATTTTATGCCAACACTAAAAAAATTCTCTGTAAAGCTGGAGAAAAGGGTTTGCATTCTTGTTGGGTTTTATAAAAGAGAAGGACTAATATTGATCTGGCTGGTAAAGACCAAATCCCCAAAAGGTTATATGTATATAATGTTACTTTTAGTGCCAACTGGATGAAAAACACAAGTTGGACTAGATATAATCTTTTTAGATGGATAGTTTTATATCCACAAATTCAGATTTAAAATCTCTTCCTTCCTGTTTGTGCCTTAACATCAGAAGTGAACTGGATAGTTTTAGAGCTAGATAATGCTGGAATCAGTGTTTTGTTTTCATGGTGAGAGACCTTCCTTTAGTTTTGGACGGTGTAGAGTTTCTGTGTTTCTCCTAGAGGATATGTTTTGTAGGTTTCTGTTTCATATCATGACAAAATACAATAAAAAACAGTCTCCTAAGTAATCAGATCTGGGGAGAGTTGAGCGGGATGGGCCTCCTCTAGTGCAATGGAAAACCACAGAAGTGATTCAAAGTATCATTTTTAATGCGAAATGCATGGCAAGATCTGGATCTAATATTAGTTCTAAGTTATTCTCTCTTTGTTTGAATCTGCCTTGAGCCCCAGATGGTGAGAGTTTACCACAACATTTTTTCATAGTTCTCTGCACAGATATAGAAAATAACACCCAGTTTTAAAATGTGATGCGAAAGTTGAGATCACAGATACCAGGGGAATCCCGAGCTGAAATTAAAATGCTATATACATATATATATATATAGAAACAACTAGACACCTCAGCAGTTCTGGGTCATGTTATGCCTTTATTGGATTTTCTTTTTTATCAAAACAATAATATTTGTTGATTAGAGGGTGCAACTAAGGTGGACCTAAACAGCATATTGTGATTACATGGTCAGCACATTTGCTGCTGAAGGCAGGTTCAAAATGTATTATAGGAACATAAGAGGTTAATTTCAGTATAAACTCCAATCCACTGTGTACTAATACATGCGTTGGTTTGACAAATTATGACATGAAAGCATAGTGGTGTAAAACAAAAGTTAATCTATATGAAAAGTCGTATCAACTGTAATAATGTTAACATGCAAAGGCAAACTGTAACATTTTACTCATGCTAAACTTCAACTTTTAAAAAAAAAACATAAACATTTTAGTTAGTCAAAAAAATAAAGAACGCTGTAAAATAAAATATAAATGACGCAATAAAGCTTGACATAACTGCTTGGTGTATATAAGTACCGTCCATTATTAGCAAGTTAGTATGTGATCATAATAATAGGAAGACCTAAGCAAACAGGGACATACATCACATTAATGTAGCAATTTGATATTCATTAAGTAAAACAAATAAACAGTTTAGTTTAAGAAATATGAAAAACACATGTTTTAATGCAGGTTCTTGTTCAGAAGTCAGCACAGAGCTGACATAATCTCTTGTTAGGTCATATTGTGAAGCCACTTTGCCTTAAAAAGAGCATTTTCCCTTTCATGCAGTCAAAATCCAAACGGCCCCCTTACCTCCCGCCTCCCAACAAACACTTATGCCTCCCCTTTGTAATTAATAAAGTTTGCAAATGCACAACGGTCTCTCGAAGTAAAAGCCATTGAATGGATCACATTTTATACGTTTTTGAGTGCTCCGACTTCAGAGGGGAACTTTGTTGCGTTTTCACCTTATCCTTCACTCTCACCCTGCCCCCCCCCCCACTCCTTATTTTTCCATCACCCCGACCCTCACCACCACACACATCCTCCCTCTGCCTCTCCTCCCTTGATTGATCTTTAATAAGCGTTCCCTCCTCTCCCCTGCCCCCCCTCCGTCTTTCCATTAGTTTTGTCTGTAGTTGCTCTCCGTGGGGGGAGCGTGGCAGCTTTAATGGGTCTACAGGGGAGGTGGGTTTTCTGCGGTTAGGTGTGTGTGCGAGGATGAGGGGAGTGTGTGTGTGCTCTGCTTCATATGCACAGGGCTACGATAACGTTTTTTATGGATTGTAATGACTTTATGAATCAAAACTTAATACACCGCCAACAGGACGACACAAGATTTTTTTCTTGCATGTGTGAAAATGAATCCATGTGTTGTATACATCACTGTGTATCTGCGTGTGTATGCTCATGCTGGAATGTGTTTGTGTGTTTTATCTCTGTTTCCTCATTTATGTCCATGAGCTCATGTTGTCCATCTGCATGCAGTCAGGGCTGTGTGTGTGTGTGTGTGTGTTTCTGGGCTGTGTGTGTGTGTGTGTGTGTGTGTGTGTGTGTGTGTGTGTGTGTGTGTGTGTGTGTGTGTGTGTGTGTGTGTGTGTGTGTGTGTGTGTGTGTGTGTGTGTGTGTGTGTGTGTGGTGTGTGTGTGTGTGGTGTGTGTGTGTGTGTGTGTGTGTGTGTGTGTGTGTGTGTGTGTGTGTGTGTGTGTGTGTGTTGTGTGTGTGTGTGTGTGGTGTGTGTGTAAGCGGGGGAGGGAGGGAGGTCTCCAGGCAGAATAATGAAGTTAAATGGATCCCAGATGGACAGTTTTTTCCTCTTTTCTCTGTGTTGTCAATGACGTGAGGAGAGTGACAAGCCTCTAATGGGAAACAGACTCACACACTCCTACTTTGATCTCTGCCGACAGCATCGCGCTGCAGAGTCAAGCCTCCCTCCGCCGCTCTCTTCCTAACAACAATAGCATTAAGGAAGTCTTCTGTTTGAAGTCCACAAACAACACTGAGTAGCAACAGCACTGTATAAGAGCTGACTTGTGTAACTTAAGGCCTGCACAGCTTTTACAACACAGAAACAATAGACCTTTGTCGGCTGCTGAGTCAAGCATCAGCCAAACTTTTTTAGATTTGACCATGAATTTGTCATCTTAAGAAGGAAGAAGAAGTTTGGAAATGCACAGTTGGATTTGGCAATATTTCACTAAATATTATGGACAGTCTTCACAAGCAAACTGATTCAATGAAACCAAGTTAAAGTCTATCAATCAATGACTTATAAATCAACTAAGATTTAAGCTACAGCTCATTGTATTAATATGATATCATGTTCTTCAGTTAGGTCCAGATTTGACTCTTGTAAAGGATGTTTGGATGTTTTGAAGTTGGGTTGTATGAGGTATTTATCCATAGTCAGTATGTGTCCCACAGTAGATGACAACAAGCTGTGGATGAGGGCTGCAGAATTTTTTTTTTGCAGCCTGAAAGAAAGGCCCACCATATAAAAGTTTAGTTAAGGCTATATTTATAATATTTTCACTGCCGTCAGACAGGCAACTCATGCTGCTATCTATGCTGCTGTCAGAAAAAACCAACATGAGAGTTTCTGGTTTACCGCTGCCTCAATGGGTTTGTTTGTTTCTGTTACTGTGTGACTTTTTGGATGCCAAACTAACCAAAGTCACAACATAACACAAATAAACTAGCTGAGCAAGGATGCTAGAACGTAGATAACAGCTTTAATTACCCAGCAGGCTGTCTGATGGCAAGGTCAATTGTTGGAAATATTCTTAAAACTGCAAAGTGTACACTTTAACAGCTTTATTTAGGTAGATAAAATACATGTTGCTGTTGCCACTCCACAGCAGTCGTTGAATCATTCCAGCACAGAAGCTAAGAAGCTTACATTTATTTTTTAGAATCTTAGAGACTATATTTAAGACATTGACTTGTTTTGGAATTTGTTATCCCATCACTGCAAGTACCTTAGTAAAACTAAGGTATTCTGATATTGCTTTTTATATCACGCCAAGCAAAAATGCCAGTTTCCTTTACAACTATTCTTTGAGTTGAGCTCTATAATAAGTCTCATAATGAAGAATAAAGAAAACTACAATACACACAGATTTCGTTTTTCCATGTGTGTCTGACATCTTGGTGTTATATGTTATACTGTATGCAGTTACAGCATGGAGATCACACACATGCAGTTTAACAGATATTACTGCATTAAAGAAGTGCAGCAACAACAACGTTTTTCAGTGGCCTATATTTGTGTTTGTGTGTTCCCCTTCAGGTCCGTAGTGATGCCCATCGCCCAGGAGTTCTCTCCAGACGTGGTTCTGGTGTCGGCTGGGTTTGATGCCGCTGAGGGAAACCCCGCTCCTCTGGGAGGATACAAGGTCTCCGCCAAATGTAAGCACGGCTCTCCACCACTACCTATCCTGCAGACTTTACCTCCTTCTCGATTTCAGCAACAAGAACTTTAAGCTGTTGTGGTTCACTATTTAGAGATATTAATAGATTATTACAGCTCCTGTCAAGCACAGTGCAAGGCTTTTACCTTAACTGGCTGCATCACTGATGGAACCATAATTACAGTCATTAGTTGTTGGCATTTTAGCTGCGGGAGGATCCACAAGATAAAAATAGACATTTGTTTTCTTAGAGTATTGGAAATTATAGCGAAACTCGTTTTGGTCAGTCTTAAGTAAGTGTTCTCATGATGCAGTTGACCTGCCAAACTGTTTCTGCTCTGCTTTTGCATGGTTTATAATTTGTGTTAACATTTGTGTGTGTGTGTGTGTGTGTGTGTGTGTGTGTGTGTGTGTGTGTGTGTGTGTGTGTGTGTGTGTGTGTGTGTGTGTGTGTGTGTGTGTGTGTGTGTGTGTGTGTGTGTGATGTGTGTGTGTGTGTGTGTGTGTGTGTGTGTGTGTGTGTGTGTGTGTGTGTGTGTGTGTGTGTGTGTGTGTGTGTGTGTGTGTGTGTGTGTGTGTGTGTGTGTGTGTGTGTGTGTGTGTGTGTGTGTGTGTGTGTGGTGTGTGTGTGTGTGGTGTGTGTGTGTGTGTGTGTGTGTGTGTGTGTGTGGGGGTGTGGGTGTGTGTGTGTGTGTGTGTGTGTGCATGTTTGCCAGGTTTCGGCTTCCTGACCCGTCAGCTGATGTCTCTGGCAGGGGGTCGTCTGGTTTTGTCCCTCGAGGGAGGTCACGACCTCACAGCCATCTGTGACGCATCTGAGGCCTGTGTCAGTGCACTCCTGGACATACAGGTAAGGCATGCTGGGTAATGGAGTTCTATTTAAATGTTTGCTTTAGATTGACATGTTTTACTAACCTTTCCAGGGTTAGTGGTATTTGCAATTGAAGATAATATAGTTTTCAAAAGTTTTAGGCAAGGACAGCTGGACAAAAACAGGGATTGATCCAAGACTAATTTAAGTTATTCCATATCGCAGGAGTAATCCTTTCAGTTGCTTATTAACTCAAGTATCTGTATTTTACTCATAAATGGTACCTTGCTGTTTTTCTATACATATAAAGTTGGTCCTGATTACAATATAATATCACTTTTATTAACATATCTCCTAAGTCAGTATCACCAAGCTTTTAACCACTTTCAAACATGATCCAGAATAAAAGATTATCTTCAATGTTGCCTCTCTGTATTGTAGGACCCACTGTCAGAAGAAGTCCTCCTCCAGAAGCCCAACGCTAACGCAGTGCGCTCCCTGCAGACCGTCATTCAGATACAAAGTAATGAATCACTCTTTTATTTGTGAAAATTCTTGTGAATTCCCCTGAGTTTCATGTTTATTTTCTTCCTTCTCTCTTTTCTTCCTCCTACCCCAAAGCCCTCGAAATCGACATATATACGTGATGCTGATATTAAAAACATGATCTAGTCCTGTTTGCATTACAACAAGAGTAACCTGTTTCTCTGTGGTTGTTGCAGGTCAGTACTGGCAGAGTGTGAAGGCCTACAGTGGATCAGTGGGTCTGTCCTACCTTGCTGCAGAGAGGAGAGACTGTGAGGAAACTGATGCGGTCAATGCTCTGGCCTCACTCTCTGTGGGAGTGCTGTCCAACAAGAGGTACATCACACACACAGTCATAGGTTTTCCTTTTTTTACAAATGATTTTTCCTTGTCCCACCCAACTGTCCTCTGATTTGTTAGTACCTCTTTTCACATTAGAGCAGGATTAGGTGTAACAAAAATGTAGTTAAAGAATCAATCAAAGACAAGTATCCCACTTTGTCGCTTCATGTTGGCATTCCCAGCATTTCCCTCACTCTCTGTTTCTCCCCTCCAGCCTCCCTGACGAGCCGATGGAGCATGACAGTGACTCCATGTAGAAAGATCAGACCAATCGCCTCACTGTCAGGATTTGGGCGCCCACCTGTAGCCTTGGATCTCCTGCGCTGTGACACAACCATGAATGGGGAGCGTTTGTAATGCCACTGAGCCCCACCCACCTGCCTTATTCACACACCATCAGACACACAATGCTGAAACCCAACAGGCCGGCAGTGTGAGCACGTCCAAGCTGGCAACCACTACCTTCTGAAACATCACCAAAGAGCAATACAAGACAATGTCTTATTACTTTTGATGTCCTCTTACTGACAATGGATGGTGTGTGTGTTCAGAGGTCCAGGAACCTTAAAGGAACAGACAGAATTCAGATGTCCAGCTCTGAATCCTCCTGAAGCACTATGTACCAGCAGCCTTAACTATGCCTTAACGTAAGGACCAGCAGATTTCAGAAGGAAAAGACTTTGGATCATGAATTCCTTTCTCTTCACGTGAAGATACACCTGATGGATGCTCAAATATCAACAAGAAGGAAAGAATATGGAAAATAGGACATGGAGATCGTCTGTTTGAATGATGTCATTGCATGCAGTTTAACCACTAGAAGAAAATGAAGACACAAACTGTGGTTTTGTAGAAACAAAAAAAAGGAACATTTCCTTTTATTGCACTGTTCATTCCATAATGTGAACCGTAAGAGACATTCCAAAACCCTGGGATAAAAAACAACATCTCCTCTGTAGATAATTAAAAAGGAGGATTTGGATGACATTTTATTCGCTCTATATCTGAGATGTCTTAAGTGAGGACACGTATCATCCTGATACTGTAGACTGTATTTTCTATGAAGTTAATCTAAAAAGTAGGCAATATTTTTCAAGCAGGATTATTTTTCCACTGCTGTTCAGTGTCTTGTACACACATGTACAAATCGACGATGACCTTTCAATGTACCACTAGTATTGAAGACTGTATATTATTGTTTATATTTGAGACTAAAGGAGCGTTCATTCCACCGTGGCACCACTGAGGACCATTCGTATTGTTCTATAGTTGCAATAATATGAATGCACTTAAAGGATATCACCCAAAGAAAACTGCCTTAAGACAGCACGCAACACAAGGGACCAGTTTGGATTCTGCTGGACTTTTCAAAGACAACCTTTGGATTTAGAAGAATATCTTGTATGCAGACTTTTGTATACCGTCTGTTTTGATAATGAATGTTTTCTTTATGTTCTTCAAAAAACATCTATGGAGATCCAGGCTCTCTCACAGTCTAATTAAGGAAACATTGTGTTTTGTTTGCAACTGTAGCAGCTCTCCCTGTCACGTTACAATCAAGCTAGACGGTGCCATGCTAAACAAGTCGGCCCCTCATCCACACGCAGGTCACGTTGCTCGTTCTTTTTGAAGAATTGTTCTGACTGCCCAGCTGTAGGGGCATGTAAGGGCTCTGCATTCCAAAAGTAAAAATAACAAGATCGTGTTTCTTAGTTTGGAGGTTTTTGTTTGAATCCATTTTTCATGCACTCTTCCTTTGACCAGGTTAGGCTTTTGATGACCAATACTTGCATTGATTAGATTAAAGCTGCAGAAAACTGAGTCAAAATGATTACATTTGACATAATGTGGCCAAAAAACAACATAAAATTCCATAATAATTCCATATCTTATTTTCTAAAAGTGAATATACACACTAAACCTCTGTAAGGAAATTAATGTTTGACTGTTAACATGGTTTCAACATCCATGATTGGATTTAAAGCAGCACAATCAGTTTTTTTGTATCTTATAGGAAATAAAAACGGCATGTAAAAGAAGCTTTTGTAAATAGATAAAATAGCTTGAGATTAGCACAGCAAGTTAATGTGAATGGTCGCTGGAAGTGTCGGTTAGCATCCTGGTAGGAAACTGTAAGCGTTGCTTTAGTCGGACCCTGGGCATCATCTGCCCAACAGAAGGCCTCAAAGCGTTTATAGGAAGCAAAATGACAGAAGAGCTAAAACGTTTCTCCTTTGCAGAAGTCCCATTGAGAAATATTGCAGGTAAAGGATTCTGTAATAGGTGTCATTTTTTGTTTGTATGTACATAGTATTCTTAACAGCAAGTGACGGCATTGAAACTAAATGCTGTGTCTCTATTATCCAGCAGCAGGTGCATGTTGTGTCTATGAAGTTAATGTTGAGTGTGTGTTTGTCTGTGAAATACTGCAAATGACCTCCTGTATCATATCCCCAGCACCTGTTTTTTGCCTTAAGGAGAGGCCATTAGTGCCTCAACTCTTAATTCCCTTTAATACTGATAAAATGTGCACCTTTTCACTGTAAATAGAAACTCCAAGACCAAAATACACATGTCACACATGTGCCTTGATGCATTCAGCAGGATGTGTATTGGTGTCTCTTGACTAACTGGACTTACAGTAACTCTGTGTATCTATAAATGTGACCTTGAAATCTTTATTTCATGCTATTCTTTATTATTTACCTGTATTTTTACTGCACATTTCCTACCAAGTGTATGTATAGAAAGATTCTATTTTGTACTGTTATTTTCGTCTTTTCCTCTTGATTAAAACAACATAATTTCCAGTATTTAAGCTTATTTTTGTCTTCTTTGTCTAAACTTTATCATATTAACTAGAAGAATAGGATAAATAATATATTATATTCGTTTATTTTTTAACACATGTTAAAATTGAGTAAAAGATAATATTACCGGGTGTTATTCAAATATATTTAAAGCACATTTTAAGAAAATCACCAGTGTAGGATTCTTCTTCCAAGTGTATAGTTTGTGGAGGAAATATTCTTTACCAAAAGAGTGTTGAAATTGAGTAAGCTTTTACTGTTATTTTTAAAATGTTAGCCTCCCACTGACAACATGAATAGGCTAACTAGCAATATGAGTTCAGTTTTAATGACATCCTCCATCTTGTCTTTAGCGGCAAGCTAATTTTCTCAGTAAATTCTAATTGTGCTGTTAGCAAGCAGATAATACTCTATGCTAAGTAAGTGGTCATAATAATGGACGCCAAAAAAGCCAGAGATTATGGAATTAAACCAATAAATAAAAGCAAGGATTTTTGTGTGTTATTGGTGAGTAAATAACAGTGTATTATTTTGAAAAGAATAACAAATTAGAAGGAAAAAAAGATTTAAAAAATACAGATTTCAGTATTCTGAGGCTCTGAGCCCCATTTAATTTCCTCACAGACGGCAACAAAAGTCCGAAATTATACGATTTAAAATAAAAGCAATAATTGTGGCTTGATATTGAGTAAGAACATGTTTTTTTTAACCACACAGCTTCCGGTCTTCCATGACCCGACCGGAGAAAAAGACGTGCTGCAGGCACGAAACACATTACCAGTAGAAATACATTGGTTTTAAAATCGTGCTGTGCAACACGAAAAAAAGGGGGAAATCATGTTGGTGAACACGAATCAATAGATTAAAAATCGTGTTGGTGAACACGAAATGCCATGAGACTGGGTTGCATAATTAGCTAAAGCTAGCATTAAAGCTAATGCTAGCTTTAGTTTATTATGACCACACTCAGATTTAATATTGGGCTTGAAAGTCTGGTTACACCATCTGCTATAGCATTAGCTAGCTATCTTAGTGCTTTATTTATGAATATTGTAACCGGGTTAATGTATATTGTGGGTATCTGACTATATCACATTTATTAAATTGTGTGAATGGTAGGAACGACAAGCTATGTGTTCAAACGACTATGTGTTTATTTTCAATGTCTTAACCTATTTCCTATCCATTCCCTGTGACGTTAGCGTAGCATTGATTGATCCCAGCTGTGAAGTCTGTGAGCAGTCAGCTGCTAGAAACCTGGATCTACAGAGCAAGCACACTTCTCAGGTCTGTGAACTTTTAATATTTATTAACGAGCAGATAACTTGTCTATTGACAAAGAGGCAGAAACTAAAACTGAATTGCACTGTTACAACATTAGGCCTATGCGTAGCAAAAATAGATTGTTTCATTTAAACATTCTGATAAAATAGCAGTTCAGTAAAGAACATGAACAATTATTTTGTTTTGTTATTAAGACAATATTCACCTTTACATTCATAACTTGCACATCTTTGACTTCACATAATTTCCATCACAACCCCACTCCTACCTCAGCAGAGGTCTAATCAGATCAACTGGAAACCCCCTTTGTGTTAGCAGTCTTAGTTGCAGCTAATTTTGTAATTGTTTTGCTCATTTACTGAAAATAATGCACATTTCGGCAAACTCTTCGACCAAAGCATGCTGCATTTTTTAGAAGAAGATGAGCAACGGTTTAAATCAATGTCAAGTAACATCAAATGTAATATAAACCATATTCAAGCCATTTTATTGATCAAATCTATACTATATTTAAGTGAAACCCAAGCATATTAAAATCTGTGAGACTCAATCTTAGTCACTCATTTAGGTACTAATGTGTCTAACATTTCCACAGTGAAGAACACACAAGACAATTACAAGTTAATTTTTTATAATTTGAATAATCAAATATGGCCGACAGTTTATACCAACTCTGATAACGGCCGTTATGCCACAATGTAACTGTTCCTGTAGGTTAACACTGTGAAAGCTTTAATGATCTAACTCCTGCTAAAGGATACGCAACAGTAAAGCTGGCTGTAGGCCAGTGTAGCATAACTGCAAAGATCAAACTAAAAACTATGAATTTGGGCCCAAACAGGCTATAAATATTCCTGGAGCCTTTAATTGCACATTAACTTGTTCTTTTTGGAGGAATTAACTGTTCCTGACTGACCAGGCAAAGGCACACAGACCTCATTAAAAAAAAGACCGGGGGAAGGAGGAAGGAAGGGAAAACAAGAGGCAGTTTAACAAGAGAGACAGGAGACAAAGAGGGTGTGGCGCTAGTATAAATCTTTGCACCGTTCATCATCCACTTTGAGCAAAACAACAAGAAACTTGTGAAAAAGTTTGAAGACAGTTTTATTTTTCAGACAAATGATTCATGTTGCATTACTACATCCATTTTGTTCTACATGTGATGATATCCAGTCATGCTGTATCAGTGTCACTCCACACACTGTATATTCTTCAAGTAATTGCTCCTTAAAAACAAAGCCTTGCTTTGATTGTAAACTGGTGAACAAGAGATGAACATACATTCTGTCAGAGATTATAGTCTTGCTTCAACTGCAGGTGAAGTCTCTTATACAGTGACAGCTAATATATAAGTTTCCTTTTATTATATACAGGGGAAATAGTGATAATCACAACATTTAAACAATCAAAAATGTCCAGCTATTGTCCAGCTAAAGCTCTTTGATGGTTTAGTTTGTCCAGAAATGTCCTCTTGCCCTATATCTGTCTGCATCCTGATCCGGATGCCTTTTGATATTCTTATACACTCCTTTTGAGGTAACTAAAAAAATTCCATTTGTATCAAAGTCCAAATGATTGAACCTTGATGGTAGCATGAACACCAGAGAAGATCACAGTCACTTTATTCAGCAGCTGGAAAGACAAAAAAGACAGACTGCTGATGAGTTTTTAGGCTTATCATTTTGAAATTGATCCTTGTTCCAAAAAAACAAGACATCAATGGGGCAATGACAATCAACGAGATTTAATTTCATATTTCCAAGTATACCAACAGGAAGAAAAAGCACATTGTCTTAAGTAGTGTCATCTATGGAAAAATAACAGCATTTTTGTATTCATAACAAGCTAGAATGAATACACTAATTCAGAATACTTCTTGATTTAAATATAATAATACAAGGTTATGCATGCGCATTAAACTGGGGTTCAGTATTGACACATATGGGGTGTTGGCAAATGCAATTCAGGTCATTAATGTTGCCAATTTTCGTATCAGTGGTAAAAAAGCAAAAAGTAGCTGTCATACCTAATCAGTTATTATCCAACTGCTGTTTTGTACATAAAATGCATAGGGACTGCTTTTCTCTTTTGGCCCAAAACTGAAATCATTTTGAAATGTCAAGTGTCCTCTAACATGTCAGTGGATGCTGTTCCTCTGAGACCACACTGTGCTTACTTTGAGGCTCAAGTCTTCATTAGTGTTCACAGGAGCTGGAAACATTAGCTAGCTCCCTGGGACATGCTAATGATAGCTTGCAGGGCTTAATGCATATTGGCAATGAGCGAAGAAGTGGTTTGTCATGGATTTGTATCGAAACAAACAACATGTCATCTCTTTGGAGTTTGCTCCTTTCATAGGAATTGAAAGCTAAACTCTGTAGTTCATTCGATTGAATTCGGAAGTTCTTTTTCAAACCCAGACATTTAGAATGTGTGTGTTTCTTTATGGGTGCGTGCATAGGGCTACACCTATAGTTGTGCACATTTGTGTGTGTATAAATCAGCTCTCACCTCCTCCATCACTTCCAGTGGTTTATGGGAGCCCAGCAGGGAGCCACATTGGGCTCCTCTTTGATGGTGACACGCATGATTCATGGCTTTTCGAGACCGTTTGTTTTCATTACGCCTCTTCGTCAGCTCGCAAGCTGCATCACTGTTTCGTGCAACGCAGGCACATTTGGGCCAGAATGAGAGGAAAGAATTTCAAGAGGAGAGTTTTTTTTGGCACTACTAGAAACAAAGGGGCTTGGTTTGGGTACGGAGAGAAGAAACTTAAATCGGGGCGACGGCTGCCCTGCCCACGGCTGCTTTTTCCACCAGCGCTTGGGTTCAGAGGTGGTCAGGGAATCATGATATGTCTTGGAAAAGTAGGAGTTGAAGGCTTGGAAAAGTCAAAGGTCCAATCTCTGTTGGAACATCCAATTTGATCTTTCCAGTTCTTCTTTTCTTCTAATCCCTCCTCTGCATATTGGCTCTTTATATAACACAAAACCTGCTAGCCCCAGGCTGAAATAAAGTTCAAATGTGGCTCCAAGTATGCATACCTACAAAGATGAGGATAAAAAACTTAAAGGTGGAAGTTATGATGATAAAATCTACGGACATGACACATGAGGTCAAATTGCAAAACCTGAGAAAGCCAGGAGATTGAATGTTACTATCTGTCACCTGTCATGTCCTCCTTTGGGATTCATGTAAACAAAGCACAAACGTTAAAAAAAAAAAAATCCTTAAAAAAAGCTTAGAATCATACGCTGAGCACAATGTCCCTGTTCTACTTCTCTTGAATTCTACTATTGGCATACTCAAGCAGTAATTGCTGCTTTAGGCAGACAACATACAGAAATACAACAATCCATCTGGCATGTAGCTTGTCAACAATAGTGGCTTTAAAATCAGCTTCTTCCTACTGCAAATGTCAATGTAAATAAGTCTTTCTGACATCATTAAGGCAAACCGAAGAAGTTGATGTGATAAATAGTCCACAGGTGAGCTGACACTCCTCCGCCCCTTTGCGTCAAGTTAGAGTATTTCCTTGTCAAGTGGAATTCATCATACATTTTACAGCAACAGTCAAAAGATAACCCTTAAAAGGGGCTAGTGGCCAGCAGACATGGATGACCAGGCCCCCTCCATCCTCCAGACCGAGAAGGCGTAGCTCAGTCTCTCGTGGGCCAGGTAGTTACATCCAGCCATCTTGGTGTCCATCTCGTCATTCTCCAGAACCTTGTACAGAAAGTCGATGTAGCGCGACGCCAACTTAAGGGTCTGGATCTTGCTCAGTTTGTCAGAGGGGAGTGTTGGGATTATTTTACGCAACGATGTGAAGGCGTCATTCAGAGATTGCGTACGCTGTCTCTCTCGGATGTTGGCGATCACCCGCTGCCCGTGAGGGTCCTCCAGACTTCCGGGACTCAGGCCAGGAGAAAGGGACGTTGCCGAGGAAGGTGACCGATCTTGAGGACTCCTCTTGGGTCTTTTCGGTCTGGTTAGGGTGAAGGTCTGGATGTCCTCCCCTGGCTTGATCTTGCCATCGTGTGCAGATGTAGTCGGAGTTGTAAGTTGATCATCCGCATTTGAGCCCGTCTGCCGTTTACGCCCGGTGACCCCAGGTGTTGCTACGACAACAGGGCAGGCGTTAGAAGGTGTTCTTCTTGTGTTTTCCTCACTGGAAACCACCCCTCCCTCGGGGTGGTCATCATTGGACTGCTCCTCCTCTCGCATGATTTTCTGTCTTCTCTTGGGACTCTCAACCCTTCACTTTTCTGAATATCTCCAGTGCTTCTCTCTTGCCTTCACTATATCTTTCTCCACTCCCCCCCCTTCTTCCCTCACTGTTTTCCTCCTGTCTGTTTGTCTTCAGGGAACTCCCCCTGTTACGTTTCTCCGGCCTTCTGATGTGTTGTTCTTCTTTTCCAAAAGTGATCAGCTTTGCCGAACATGCCAATTCGAAATGGGTAGGTAATCAGCACTCGGCTTTGGATTTCCACATTGCCTCTTCATCTACACATGTGGAAACGTGCCAATGGTATCTTTTCAGCTTCTGTCAGAGTGCACTGCATCGGCAAATCCAACCGTTCTCATGTCTCGCTCCTGTGGCTGCATGTGAGACAACAGCAACCTGAATCTGACTTTTTAAAGGGAGGGAACCATGAAACGTTCAGCTTCCCTCCCATCTGAGTCACCGATTGGTCCGGAGAACTTTTCTTGGACAGCTGAGCTGAAGACAACAGGAAGAATGAGCCATAAGCGATTGGTCGGATCAAAGAGACGAGGCGGAGACAAAGGTGCGTCATGCAGCCAACCAAATCGAACCCTGGTGACGCTCACTTCTTGTCAGAGAAGTTGCCCAAGTTTATAGGTTCCAGATTTCCTCCAAGGCAAGACGCTACCATCCCCCATCTCGCTGCCTGGCTCTCCGTCCCCCCTGCCTCCACAACTCAGCACCATCATCAAGTATAGTTCAGAGAAAAAGAGAAAAAAAAAGGATCTCCACAAATGTTTTTGTTTCTGGGTTGACAGTCATATCACTTCGTTCTGTCTTTATAAATAGTGAAACGTGGTGATTCTTTAACACGTAACATTTCATCTACATGTTGTAATGGTTAAATATGTGGGAAATAATTCTTTCATGGTTAATATTGTGGTTTTGAAGTTCTGAGAAGAAGCTACAATTGTGGTAGATCTGTCATCATTAAAGATTTAATAGGAATAGCCTAAATTACCAAAGGTAAATACAGAAATACTATAGTACCCCTTCTTACAATACCATCACACTAACTATGGCCTCCAATCAGACATCATCATAAGGCAAAACATCCTTATTGGTGTTCCAATAAATAATTGGGAAAGTCAGCTAGAAATGTCACACCTTTTTCATGAAACAATAAAGACGGTGTGTTTTATTTCGCTGCCAGTGAACTGGCTGTTGTTTTTCATGATAGACCTGGAGGGAGAAAAGAGCTGGCACACAGTCAGCTCTGCAGCACTGAGGTCTAATCCCAGCGTTAGGGAAATAATGAGTTGCGTGGATCAGTGGGAGGCCTGCTCCACTGAGCTACATCCAGAACAAGCCTCGGTCCAGGTCCAACGTGGACTTTGCTCTTAAAACTCCTGGTCGAGACTCAAGCATGGCTAACAGCCACACATCCAAAATGAAATGGGCTATTGTTACCGTTTTGCGATTCAGAGACAAAATGCTTCCCTCCGAGTAAAAAGGATTTTGTTCAGAACTGGAAGTGTCTTCTAGTGAACTTGAAGATGGCACAAATCGAAATTAAGAAGATACACTTCCATTTATCATTCCACTTATGTGTATGTTTTTGTTTAACCAACTAAAACATATATAATATGTACAGGTACAGCCCCATGTCAGAATGTGCCCCATTTGAGGTTCCAGAAATCCAGTGTTTGCTTTTTCTTCATTATCTTCGTCTATACCCTTGTGCAATCCAAGCCTCCACACAGAACCTAGATTTTCCAATAACACACTGGAGTTTTAGTCCTATCCCATTGTAAAAATATTGAATGCTTATCCGTTTTAAATGTTATCAGCCCATTAAATGTCTGCTACCAATTTTCTAGGCTAAAATAACTTTGTGTTACTTATGGTTATTACGGAACAAACCATTATGTAAATTACGAACGCTATGTAACTTTCCTAACATGGATACGTCACTCAATATTGACTTTTGTTTTCACATGGGACTATGATCCTCTAGGGAGAAGTTCCTGTTGACCCAACCATCGTTTGTACATCTTCCACTAAACCTTTATTGGTTTTTATACTACTTTTTCACATCATAATCAACCACATTTGTATTTGTTTCGGGAACATTTTTGGTGAATAGATGATAATGACATTCTGAACCCTTTCTGAACTTGATGTGGTGGTGATGTTGATGGATTGATGACAAACTTCTAATGAGCTCAACCTGGGAAGTGGATATGATGAATGGAGGTAAATCTAGGGTGCAGGAGGCCCGCAGCGTTAGCGTCTGAAATGACAGCTGACTACAGAGTGATTGATGATTGGCTGTTGCAGACAGCTGAGAGGGAAAAAGTACACACATCCTTTACTCAAGTAGAAGTACATACTAGTGTTTAAAAATACTCTAGTAAAAGTACTGACTAAACTTCTTAACTCAAGTCAAAGTAAATAAATATGGGCTTCGAAAAGTACTTAAGTAAAAAGTTCCCATAACTACCAGCTGTTTCATAGAGTAGCTGGTAACTGGAGCTCACTTTATATTAATAGAACAATAAAGATCTTCTATTTTGATTTGTAATTATGTAATTGTTAGGTAACGAATGTTTCAACACTGAACAACAACCATTTAGAACACAAGCAAAGAAAACAAGTGGGGAAATAAACGCCTACATTGTAGATTATATGGTGACTCTACCTCTTCCTTGGAAACATCACAACAATTATTACCGTAATGCTTTAGAAAAAAAACTGAATTGAAGTGAGTTATATGGTGAACTTTATTTAAAATTGTGGGATCAATTAATGAACAACCCAACTCAATAATTGTGTTGTGTGCATGCAATGACACAGATTAAAACTAAAGTAACGAGCTTTTTTTGAAAATGTAAGAAGTAGAAAGTACAGGTATTTGTGTTAAAAATGTAAGAAGTAAAAGTAAAAAGTAGTCAGAAAAATAAGTAGTGGAGTAAAGTACTGATACCAGAAAGATGTACTTAAGTACAGTAACAAAGTATTTGTACTCCACTACTTCCCACCTCTGGTTGCAGATTGTGGCAAAATGTAGTTGGTTAAAAAAAATAGGGTTAACCTATAATCAGCTTATTAGAGGCAGCAGGAGGAGAGAGAGATCATTTATATGGAAAAAAAGTAGGTAAACTTCTCTGAACTTGCACATGCTTCATATGGTTATAATGTTTAAAGAATTGAGATGAAATAGGATTCATTCTCGACAGGGACTCTCATACTATTATTAGATATTATTAGAACTCCTGAGTGACCAAGGTGCTGAATACTGTGTTTCATTGGGGCTGCCCATTGCTTCCAAAGGGTTATCAACATTTGTACCAAGAGATGTCACGTAGCAATGAAGACATAAATATGAATACAATCGATGTAGGAACATGTATGGTAGTAGTCCTCAAGGATACATGCGTTTTGATGTGAATCCTTGAATTGAACATACATGTATTTGTTTCCAGGCAACCAAGAACAGCAAAATAAGTTACAATAATATAACCGCCATATTGGAAAAGTTGTTTTTAAGTCCAGTCCTCACTCTTCTTTTAGCTCTATTTTGTTTATCTCTTATCTCCTAGATGCTCAACTATGTTCCCCACTACTACATGTGTCTGCTGTTTGGTGTTAGACTTGTAGTGTGTAATGTGTTTATCAGAGCTCTTTCACGGAAAACAGCTGGCTGGAAACAGGGTCGATGAGAGTCAAGTTGAAGTGCGGAAAACAACAACAATAAGCTAAAGGTGGCTTAAAGCAATATACAACAACATATTTCACGCAGACATCGTCATTTGATCCATTATTAATATAAAGCATATTATTTAGTGCAGCTCTAACTAATGTGATAGTTTGAGGTTTGAGACATGAGTAACAGTTTCTCAAACTCTGACGAAACCAGGCGTGCAGTCACACAATGACCAAACGAATATAAACACAATCAGTCTAGTGTTGAATGACTAGAAATATTTACACCAGAGAGCCTGAGTCAAAGTAACAATCCTTCTCTCATGCAAAGCTTTGAGTATTTGTGGAAATTAGCGCCCATAAATACAGCTGAGCAGCCAAACTCATTGATTCCTTTTCATCTTATTTTCTGTATCCGTCATCAGACCGTGCGTCCTCTCCACGGGCGATGGGGCACCTGTGACGGATCACAACTATTTACACATCACAGCTCCCTCGAAACTCTTCCTTTCTCGCTAAAAAATAAATACCTCTTAGCAACGGGAGTGTGTGACGGAAAATGGATATCAGGTCTTGATATAAACACACGTATTGGGTCAGGGAAGAGGGGAGGGGGCGGGCCACGCTCACAATGCTCGGTCTTGTCTGGGAAGGCCCCCCGGAGGCTGACTCATTCAGAAAAAAGGGAAAGAACACCGGACCCCGTCTGTTTGAACTGCATGCTCAAATGAGGACTTAGCATAAATATTTCCACCCAGAGAAATGGGAGAATGTTATCACATGTGCAGCTTATGTATACACACACATGGCACACACACATGCTTGCAAATTCATGGGTTTACACTGTGGCATGCATTACACAGACGCACAAATAATGACAGTCCACTATATAAACAAATCAGTTACAGGATGTTAGGTACAGTACCTGGTAGAAATCTGTTCGTCATTTTATAATAGAGAAAACACATTTAGTTGTTTTCCATAAAAACAATTGTTGGTAGAATTGGTTTACTTCAAAATATCCACCATGTGCAGATATTTCTTCGAAAGGGAAATAATATATTGTTAGTTTTTCTAGTGTTTTTTACATAGTGTTCCTGACATCAGTGCTGATTAAGGTATAGGTATTGTTTTTGGTTTTTTCGGTTCACCTAACCCTGTCAGCTCATTGTTGTAGGTTAAATGTAGTTGTTTATTTTCACTCAAACAGCTCATTCAGAAAACCTCCTAATACACAATAGCATCTAAAAGGAGACACTCTGTAACTTACTAGCAAGTTAACAGCTAATTGTACAGAACCTTGACTGCATGTGAATCTTTCCCTGTATCTGTTAGATTACTGATACCCAAACTGTGGCACACGTAGGCCACTTGGTCATGACATCTGACACAGCATCAACTCAGTCTCAGTGTTTGTTAAACGCTTGTTTTGGTTTTATTGCCCCGGACTTTACTGGTTTGCTTCGCTCTCACTTTTCCAGCTGTAGCAGGGAGACCAGATAAACCAGCTGTATGCAGCCTGCTGAGAAACAAACAGCAGACAGACAAGGCTAGTGACTGTAGCCTTTACCTGAGATATGGCTAGAGAGGATCTGTCTCTGTCTGTGAATATGTAAAATAACCACTGCGCAAAGGATTGTGGGCCAGGACAGCAGAAAAGAATGATACATGTGACTCGATG